TGTGTTGGGAGCGAATGATCTTGGTGGAGGGCCATGCAATTGTGAAGACGCATTGATCCAGAGTGTTGTTAGTACCACATGCCAGTGGGTACCTATGAGCACGATTGGTAGTGATTTTCGGATTCCCGTTTGGAAGGAGTGGTTGCAAGAAGGCTTACCATATGGCTGGTAGTATTTATTTTAATTTTGATGACTGTTGGTGGAATTGGTGTTGGCTTATCACTTGGGCATAATGCTGTTTAGGCACGTATACCTGATGGGTGGAGTCTAGTATGTTACGAATAAATGATTTAAACCCTACTTGGAGACTGGAAGCAGGGAAGCAGCAAGGCAGACAGTCTTGGCTATTACTCATTCATTGTGCTGGAATTGCTCTTATTTAACTTATGCCTTCCCCCACGCAATCGTGGGGCGTGTCCAAGTCATGCGGTTTACCTGGTAGGGGAAGTACCGCACCATGCCTGTAGCCTATGGTATTGTGCCTGTGCTCATACAGTACCGGTACTGCACTGTGCCGGAACGTTTGAGTCGGGTTTGGTGTGGGCATCGAATGTGCGTACCGCACGGTAACTTGAGTATAATAATTTTCCCTCGTTGTGTCATACGGAGTGCAGTACTGTGCATAGGTGTAGTGTACGGTACTCGTAATAAGTAAACGATCCGGGTGGGGTGCGGTGATGAGGTACCGTACTGCACGCTGTTTTCGGTGATAAGCTGATACGGTGATTACCCGCACACCGTACGAGTACTTGACCTAAGTAAAACTGCGCATGTGTGGTGGTTTTTTCTTTTCTTCGCAGAGTTGTGTAAATCAGGAAGAGTTTGGGGCGTGACTGGTTGGCACGCCTAATCTTCGCCTTGAGTCTGATTACAGTCTCTTCCGGCGTTGCGAGATTCTTGAGTTGCGAGAGTGGCGCGGCCGCTTACTGTCTTGGCAGCCCTGACAGGTTGGTCGTCCACACCTGTTTCACCTTCTCTCTCTTAATACCGTACAGGACCATTTTTCTCTCAACACTACAACCCTGAACAACACCACATATCCGCAACACACCACACATCCACAACACACCACATTCCGTTTTTGCTAAGAGAAGATGAGGGTGATTAAACAGAGGAAGAAGAAAAAGAAAAACACAAAAAAGAGAAGGTAAGAACTAAGAAACTGTTTCAAAGGTACAAACTAATTGAAATTTAATCCAGCATTACAATCGGGTCTGCACCATCATGTCTGATATCATGTCCAATCCCATCACCACCCTCCGAGCTGTCGTCACTTCCATCAACATCCTCACCAATATCACTGTGGTCTGTTCCCTCTAATCCTTCACGAACAAACTCTGCTAACTTATCGTCCAGTAGTGTGATCTTTGTCGCTAGGGGGACAATCTTTTCCTTGACTTCGTCTTTCTTTCCGCGTAAGATGTCAACGTTTAGTCTGATTCGAGAACGTGGATTTTGTGATTTGTCTTCTATCTTTCGTTCCAGCTCATGAAGTTGGTCAAGTAAGTGTTGCTGTCTCTGGATTTGTCCTTCTCGTTTTCGTTGAAGTTTTTTGTATTCGCTGCTAACAATATCTCTCCTCCACCGGCGTAGATTCTCCGCAGTAGCAAAGGATTGTCCATGCATTGGGATCTTTTTACGGGCACAAGGCTGGTCTCGTGCTTTTCGTTTTCGGTCTTCTTCCTTTTGTTGAAGTCGTGCCTCTTCCGTTAAGTGGACCTTTGCATGAGCAAATTGGGCAGAATGGATTAACTTGGTAAGTTTTGCCTTATGGTTCTGAATTTTGGATGGGCTAAGAGAGGGATTGCTGGCTGACTGTAATAGATCGTCTATTAATCGTTTCAAGGATTTCGGAGTTTTGGGTGTCGTCGGAATACCAGATGCGGGAGCCTGTAGAGGGGTACTAGAACGCTGTCGTCGGTTTTGATGAAGGAAAGCTTCATTTATAAACCGGAAGTTAGCAGCAGAATCACAGAAAGCAGGTAAGGCTCCTGATTATGATATAGAAAGCAGAAAAGTATACTGACTGGAATGCAAAGGCTTCTTCAAGTTTGAGTCCGGTGGATCATCATACATCAATAAGGGATTGGTATGCCGAACAGGATCATAGGAAGGAACCTTTCGGAGTGCTGTATATCGGTCGAGTGGATGGATACCAGTTGTTGCAAAGGCAGATTTAATGTTTTGTACTGTAAAAGCCTTCTCTCGGGCTTGAGATAAAAACTCCCAGAAATTGGCTTTTGATACCCCATAGCGCCCATAACGAAACTCCTTTTCCAATAGTTGAGCATAATAGTTCTTGTATGGGCTAAAGATGCCCACATCAAGTGGTTGGAGGA